TATATATATATATGATATATGAAATAAAGGCTGTAACTAAATCCTAGCTGGCTGATAAATCTATAGTGTCATGGTATAGATCATCCTTTCACCAAGCTCTGACAGAAGCCAGGGAAGCAGTTTTGGTAACACTGAGCAGGAAGTGAAAAGTCTAATCACATTTTAAAGTGCTGCACCTTTTTGCACATCCACGAGAAAAAAAGCTTCCTGCGGTGTTCATTCGAACAAAAAGACATGATGGCAGTTGTGTAACAAACTCTCATCCTTCATGGTTTGGAAGGAGAAGATGTATTACTCTGTGAGCACAGAACAAGATGAAACAATATCCTGCAGTAACTTCATTTAGAAATTGTTCTCAGGCCCAGCTGCAGCGTTACAGAGTGATCTGAGGCAGCTGCCAACAAAGCAACACTGTTCAGATCTGAAACAACCTCGCTGACAGTGATTTCCCCGAGGAGAAAAGCTGTTGCTCCAGCAGTGTCCCTGTATTCAGCTGTGTATGTGTCCCTTTAAATCAATTTTTTAGGAAAATGCAAAAAGCAGTGCAGCGATAACACTGCAAACTAACCTCAAACTAAAGTGACTATAAAACTGGCTCATAAATGTGTACCTGTCACTTTGCTGCACTGCAGTGCTGTAGGCAAAGTAATGAGCATCCATGAGTGTAGTTCTGCTATTTCCTAAATGATACTATAGAAAGTATATAGAAGATGGACACATGACTTAAACATGCACTCTGTCTGATGGCCAGCATGGAGTGACACTTCTGAGTTCAAAGTTCAACTTTTTTTTAAGTTTAAACTCTTAGGGTACACTCATTCTGTAAACCAGGATTGCCATTAGATGAGGGAAAAGAAGAATTTCAACTTATCAGTTCAATTCTCTTATTGACTCCCACTGGGTTCACATTGGTACCAATCATTTATCACCACCATTGCTAAACAGCATATCAAAGACATTATGTGCATACAAATTAATTGCTGTGTGGCATTGTCTCATAATTAGTATTTAACAATATAAACCTACAGGCTACAGTTCACTCAGCTTTAACATCACACTGTATTCTTGGCTACTGAGCAACAACATGCTGTCTGTGCAGATGTTAGCAAAGCGCCAAAGCTGTGTTAGCAGCATAATGGAGTTGTTTCTGTAGATGCATTTTCAACTTTACCATCACATTCTTGTCCTTTTGCACAATAAAAAAAGTGATGTCCATAGCCATGCCAAAGACTGTGCCACAGTTCTCTTCTTCTGGCTTCCTCTGGCTAAATGTCTCCATTAAATTAAATATTTTCAAAAGCGATTATTCATTTAATATTAAGTTGCTAGAAGATTCTGCAGGTAGCACAGAAAGCTAGCATTTAGAAATGAAAATTTCAAAAGTAAAGAAGAGAAACACCCTTTAGCCATGCTATGACTGTTGATGCTGCACATTTTGTCCACCAGAGGGCGCTCTGCAGTGTCCCTGTTGGCAGCAGGTCTTTGGGCCACAAACACAGCTGATCTGAGCAGAGTTGGGCAGAACATAAATAAAGTGTTAGCTTATATTTGTTTGGAATTAAAATTCCTGCATGTAAGGTTGAGTTCAGGTACTCGACTTTATCCCGAACTGCTGGGATGATGATTGTGATGATTCAGATATCGTCATTATTCGGTTTCCTGCAGCTAGGTTTGACGGTGTCCCGGAAGAATCGACGGTAATGTTGCAGCAAACCATTGCCAAAGTTACAAATGGTGTCCTTGAGTCAAATTAATGTAGCTTGTTTGCATTCAGATTGTGCAAGACACAGGAAGATACAGTGATGTTTTAAAAAGGTAATATTTGTGCCTACAGGACAGTTTTGACACAGATAAAGTCTTTAACCTCTGGGTTTACACAAATCCAGATTAAAACTTTAAGTTCCAGGTTTTAGTGACACATCACTCTAATCCTCATTAAATTGGTGCCCTCAAGCTCCTACAGTACTCACAGCTCAGTTCGATGCGAATGAAGTCTTTGATGCCCAGGTTTTCCAGGAACACACCAGAGGAGCCCGTGGTTTTAAAAAGGAAGGAGATGTCGGCGCTCAGCTCTCCATGGAAGGTGGGGAAGTGCAGGTACGACGTCTCCTTGTCGAAAAATGCGGCATTCCAGAAGTTCTCTAAGAAGCATGATAAAAACATTGTGTCATGAACATTAAATGTAGCTCATAACACTTATTTATCAATGTTGTGAAGCATTTACACAGTGACTGGAACAGCAATCAATGAAAAGAAGAACAAAGTCAGTGCGATACTTTGACTTTGATTTACCTTGTATTTTATTCTTAATGAGAAGCAGTTAACAGAGAATGAAGACTTAAAAGGAAATATGGATTAGTAACAGTTATGTTAGTGATAGCTAGAAGGAGGAGGAGGTGCTGAACCCATAAGAATCCATTTAATTCATAATTAATTAAACATTAGACACATAATCCTTTTTTCTAAGCTTGATACTAAAACTTCTAGTCTATTTTTTTTTTTTAATTTAGTATTCAGCATCTTTTACATTAAGGAAATGGCATTACTTCCAGAATTTATAGATCTGTGTCACATGACTGAGATCTCAAGGGAAAGTTCCAACAAGCTGCCCAAAATGGGCCACAAGCTTGTCAAACTTCTGTTTCTGTTCACAAACATCTGACCTCCTCTAAAAAGCAGGGAAACAAACGTGTTTGAATAGACTTTCTGGATTTCTAAAAAGAGCAAAGTCCAAGTCAGAGCATCATCATGTTTAAAAATATCTTATAGACAAATCATATCTCTAACCTGCTTCCAGGATCAAAGTGTACAATAAAACAGACTGCTTTATGTATTTCTTTTCGTGATTGGTTAAAAATGTCACCATTTCAGAACAATGAAGACCATAAAATTCTCCAGTGTCAAGGGTTAGGCTTTGATTAAAATGGGACATATCCAGTTGGAATAGATGTTTAATCCCAGTGAAACTTGTCCAAACCAATGAAATCATCGTTAAGCCCTTCCTACCAACTGTCCAAACCGATGAAATCAATGTTAAAACTTGTTCAAAGCTGTCCAAACCAATTAAGTAGATGGTTAACTTTTCAGAAACCAGTCCAAATTAATGCATGACCACAACTTAACTCGTCTAAACCAATGATATTGATGCTTAACACCTCCAAAAACACTGCCCAAATTCAGCATTTAAACAAATTAAATTACATGGGCTGGGATTAAATGGTTAAGCTTTAATGCTGCTCTATTCTACAGTTTGCAGACAGGCATACTTGTGCAATGTGGACATTTGGTATGGCAGATTTAGGACACTGACGGCAAGTCATTAGTGCATATTATTTAACAACCATCCAGAATTTTGGCTAAACAAACCTGTTATAAAAACAACAACAACCAAAAAACAACTGGCAGGCAGCGATAGAGAGCTTTGTTTTGCCTTCCAGGTGGTCATTTATATAATGATGTGTGGTCACATAAAACCTATAAATAGGATGATTTTTGTCAGCTTTCCGTCTGCTGTAACCAAGCAGTTATGGAGACTTACTGTCTCCATGGCAACGAAGTGGTCCCACCCGGTAGGCAGCCTCCGACCCTGGCCTCTGGATGTCACCCAGCACCAAAGACCTAACCGGGAGGGTGTCCTTATGGGTCAGAAGGCCTGAGTCTTCAGTCCTGTAAAGAGGAAGATGAGAAAGGAAGAAGAGATGAAGAAAAGTAAGAAGGGAGAAGGAAAAGGTGGTGAGAGATTGAGAGAGCAGGAGACAAGGGTGAGAAGAAACACATGAAGAATGATTAGGAAGGAAAATGGGAAAGAGGAGGAATCGATGAAAAAGGAAGTTGGAGTAGGAGCAAGAAAAATGAGAAGAGAGGGAAGAAGATGAGAAAAACCATGAAAAAGGACAAATTACTTTTTATTGGGATTAACTGCTTTGACATGTATGCTAATTAGGCTAATTTGCTTGCATAAATCTCCAAGCAAATGGCACCGCTGAAAAAAAGTCTAGACTGCTGTAATAATCTGCCACAACCTGTTTTATGTGCAAGACAAATTTTCAGGAAGACAATTTAACAGTGAGACAGATCGTATCATATCCAACCTGACACTCTACACTCCATCTCCGCCAGTTTCTGTGACAGCCTTTTCCAAAAGCGCTCTCCAGACAGACAGCCGAATGAGCAGCGCCGTCCGTTTACACACATGTTCAGATAATCTACAAGACAGTCTCGCTGTCAGGTGAGAATTTTATCCAAGACTGGAAATGAGTGGCATACTCGCAAAGCACATCTGTAAAGCCTGTGTCTGCGCTGGAAAGCTTGACAGCGAGATGAGAGAAAGTAGAAGGTGAAGTGTGATGAAAGCAGCAGGATTGTTCACAGCATGAAGGACGGTAAGTAAAGAGCAATAATTTATTACTCGAGGCTAGAAAGTCTGTTTGTCCGTGTATTCAAAAATAAGTCACATTCAGAATAATGAATCCCACAATCTGAAAGGATTAACACAAGAATTTGATCATAAATGAATACCTGCCTACTTTAGCGTTTTCTTTTATCTTTTAGAAATTACAGCTTTTGGTGTACCTACGTTTTTTCAGTTATCGTTACAGGTAGTAATGTTTAAATGCATGGGAGGTAACCTGAAAAATGCTCATACAAACTCTAAATCTAAGCCCAAAAGAGAGAGCACATACCTAATACCTGCTGATGCTGCAGTTTTTAAATTACAGGTAGAGAGCTGAGTGTGCTACCGAGAGCCAAGACTCTGCAGGTTTTGTTTTACAACCCAAACTCCACCTGTCTGATTAGCAGAGAAGACTTCATTAGCGAACTCACTTGCTGAGTTGATTAGTTAGACAAAAAACCCTGCACACTGGCATGTGGTTGGCCACCCCTGCTGTAAATAATTCATTCCAGTACAAACAAATCACTGGCAAACCAACCAAAAGTTACCACAGAGAGGAGGAAGCCCCTCAAACTAGAATGGATCATTAATGTTGGACTGTGGCAGGGCTACCATAGTTTAATTTATGAAATAATGTTGAGAGAGCAAACTTGGCATGAAATGAACAAAGTAATAATAATGCCTATGAATTTTTAAAGGTCAGTACCACTCCAGGCGATCTGCATCACAGTTGCAGTAGTGTTGTAGATCCACACAGTCGCCCTGCAGGCCGCAGGCACACTGCTGGCTTCCTGGATGAGCTCCTCCCCAGTAAGTCTGGACTCGACCTTGACCTGGACCGCCAAGCCACCAGCTAAATGGAGAGCCCTCTGAAACACACAATCGTGTTCATGTGTAGCTTCAACATAAAATTTTTTACTACTACAACTTCTACTATTATTATTATTATTATTATTATCATTAAATAACACCAACTAAGGAATCGTTAAATGTTTATCCTTCTACTTCTTTTACCTATTGCTGAGTTGAAAACCGTGACGCAATCAAAAGGCTAAATTAAAAATATTTAATTGAGATGGACAGCCAGGGACTTCCAGGCACTGGCTCGTCAGTCGCATGGATGTCTCATTATGAGCCAGTTCATTTCAGTCTTGCCAAACAGCCATACACAAACTCATAGATGCATGCTAACACATCATTAGCATAGAAGTTCTTTATTTTGAGTGAAGACACAAAGTTCATCAAACTGTGAGGAGATTGCCGCAAAATGTTCTCAACAACAAACCTAATCGAACCTAAATCATCCCGACTCTGCTGAACATGAACATTTTAAAGACACCCATAAATCAAAGTGGCTAAAGTTAAAGTTATGCAGATCTCAGATCAGGCTCCAAGCCAGCAGCCTCGGTATGAGCAAAGAATCAAAGCAGCTATCAGACAAATTATGGAGAGTTGTTACGTAAATCTGTTGCACCTGCTTTTGTTTGGTAAGGTAAAATGTGTTGGGTAAAGGTGGTTGAATAGCAGCTCATCTTCAGCTAA